TGAATTTCCAACCATAGGGCCCTCATTTAAATGTAACTTATAACTGAAAGGTCCAGCAAAAAAGTAAATTAAAAAGAGAAAATAATAAATGAGTGTAGATTTAATGCCTTTTTTATTTACCATCATCTAAATTAGGACTTAATAGACTTAAAAGGGTCTATTCACTAAGCTGCCGTAGGCAGCCGAGTGAATGACCGACCTGAAGTGTAGTGAGCCGAACACTGTTCGGCTATTCACTTCAGGCGTTTTCAGAATCAATTGCTATAAAATATATAACAATTCTTAGAAAAATAGCAAATGACGAACACACTAACAGAAAGTACCTTTGGCTCTCTTGCTTCTCACGTTACCTTCTCTGTTTTCCCGGACCTGCCTCCTATACGCCTCTTTGGTTTGGTGTATCTGCAAGCCTTTTCCGTTTATTATGTTTTATGTAGATGAAGGAGTGTTCTGTGTTGTTCTATATTATATGTGTAGCCCCTACCACCTTTTGTGAGGTGGCTGCTAGAAATTTAGTGATTGCCAGAGCTGTAGTCAGTCTGGCTGAATTATAGCTGCCATTTATCTGATTATTTCCAGGTGTTCTGGCATTGATTGTACCTACCTGGGTGAAGTGTGACTCTGCTGCAGTGTGGGACATCATGAGGGACACTGAGTGTATATGCAGTTCACCAGCCAATCACTGGGTCTCTCTCCACCAGTGTTGCATGCTGGGATAGGGTATATATATATATATTCCAGGGAATTACCATGTGCTCAGTCTTGTGCCAGCCATGGATTAGTCTAGGTTGGGGTTTTGCCCAGTCTGCTCCCAGGCTAGGTCTCCTGAAGGTGAGATTATTTGAGTGCTTTGCTAGGCCTCAAAAAGTTTTGCTAGGTCTCAATTCTGGAGGAGGCCTTTGCTGTTAATGCAGGAGGAGAACCAGGGAAGCGGATGGCTTCTGGAGGTGCCTGGAATATAGAGGACCTTAGGAGCAAGTCTGGTATCTCTCCTACTGAAGATTGTGTGCCACTCCCTATTCAACTGTGCTGCAAATGGATCTACACTGAATTGCTAACAAGGGACTGGTGAGTCTGGAGTCTGTGTCTGTTCTACCCAGGATGTCTAGGATCCCTATACCCTCTCTCCCAGAGTGAATATGTTAATAAAAGTTCTTCAGCATCATACAAATGGCTTGGATATCAGCTCTGGGGGCACAAGAAGAGGGTGGTTAATGCTAATGGGGCAGCTGAATACCAAAACCCCTAGACCAACTAGTGATGACTCGGGTTATTCTGGTGGTTCCTTTGCGGGCGAGCGTTACATATGTTTGAAGCATTTAGGTTGAGCATGATATGTATGTTTTGACTGTACGAGTAATGGTCACTTAGTAGAATGTTAATAAATATCGCACATGGAACGATTACCAGCAGGTCGGGAGAGATGATTCTCCCTGGACACAGACAGATGTGGCCCTTGTCACAGGTTCTTGCTGCAGGAACCCCCAGCTTCACATAATAGCCCTGTGTGCATGTAGCCTTAAGGTTGTGCAGAAAATGAAAACAGTGAAACAAAATGTGTTCCGAACATATAAGTAGATGAATAGATAGAAAGCCTAACAAGACTGATATAAAATAAAAACCATATAAAAGCTAAAGTAGAATTTAGCCATTGTCTAATAAGATCTGGAAGGAACAATTACGAATTGCTTTAAAATGTGTAGGTCTTTCCCCAATGCTCATTAGTATTATTGTTTTTTTATTGCAGGTTATGTACTCTCAATCCTTCTAAATCCTGTTATGTCTTCTAATTTACTAATATTGTGAGGCACACTACTGCTTTGACTGTTTACTGTCATTTTTTCTGTGCTAGTAAAAACATAATGATTACTGGTGACACAACATTTAGTTACATAATATCCCTATATCCCTACAGAAAATGAAAAATATGGCTCAATAAAGTGTATGTCAATGCTAAATTTGGGTCACAGGAGTGAATTAGTAAATAATAAATACAATTCCTGTGATCCAAAAAAGAAGTAAAGCATAAATGGGGCACCGGCACTCCAAAGAGTGAACAGTGCGTCTTTTATTGACGAAAGTGCAGCATATAACATGAATGCTTTTTTATAGTGAATAGTGCGTCTTTTATTGAGGAAAGTGCAGCATATCACATGAATGCTTTTTTATAGTGAATAGTGCGTCTTTTATTGACGAAAGCGCAGCATATAACATGAATGCTTTTTTATAGTGAATAGTGCGTTGTTTATTGAGCAAAGTGCAGCATATCACATAAATGCAACGTTTCTGGGTCACGCAGGATCCCCTTCTTCAGGCAAGATGTGATACAGTGTAAATGTGAACACACATACAGTATATATACCCAAGTGCATTAGACCAGAACCTATCAAACCACTTTTACTGCCCCTTGTAACATCATAATGACATCATAATCCCACCAGAATTCAAAAGAATACACATAAGAAAATGACACATTAAATCACTTATCTATTGCCATATATATTCGATCAACTATGATGTGGACTCACCACCAGGTTGCATCAGGTTAACCCACGTGTAACCCATAGATAAAGTGACATTTTGTGGGTAAATGCCTGTTCGATTCAGGCTGTTCGTTACTGGAGCTGTCCTGTGGGTAGCCTGTGGGAGTGGCTTGTCGTCAGCAGTCACTCAGCATTTATGTGATATGCTGCACTATTTGGAGTGCCGGTGCCCCATTTATACTTTCTTTTTTTTTAAGACCCTGCAAGTACCGAAACATATCTGTTAATCTGTTGTGGACTGTTGACTACGTGCCAGCCATGCCCAGTTTTCCTTTGCTAAACTTCTCAATCCATTCCAATGTCTTCATCTACAAAGCACAGGCACTAGCTGACTTGTAGTCCCAAAATAAGAAGTTGGAGGGCTAAATAGACCCTTTGAGAAAAACGCAGGAAGATTACACAGGACAGCTCTACATTTCGGACAAGATCACCAGTTTTTTTTTTCCACTAATAAAGCAGACATAACAAAATGCTTGTTAGAATTTACACACACTTTAAAGCTGTACAGAGTGAGGCACATGAGGCACTACAATGTCAGTATGGAGAAGGCTGCTACTGCTAATCACCTGAGCCCTATTGTAATGAAAGCAGACATCAATAGTAAAATGTAATTTCTAAGGGCTCTGACATTGATTGATTGATGCCGGAAGTACTGCTAATGCAAGTAAAGGCAGAGCTAATGTGAATGGTATAGTAACAATGAGATGTGATTAGAGACCAAGTGGCAGCTCTGCTTACAAGTACAAACCTCCCAACTGTCCCTCATTTGGAGCCAAATCATCCTGTACCTGTTTCCTCCTCAGTTATCCCTGTTTTTGGTTTGAGGTACACATTTCTGTATAAATGTTCTATTTTAAAAAACATTTTTTGGGGGGGGGGGGGGAAAGTGGGGAAAAAAACAAATCTGGGTTTAACCGATCATTTTTGGCATGTTAATTCTTAGTTGTCCACATAACTGGGGTGTGTGACAGCGGTGCTTTCATTACCTAAATACATTGTGCTGGAATCTTTCTAATTTCGGAAAGATAGGAGGAATGCAACTATAGTGTAGGTATAGCATAATGCAACTGTCATTTGAGCTCCTGATGGAGACAGACAAGCCACATTGCACCATGGCAAGAGGTCTTATACAATGATGGGCTTCAAAGAAGGTGCTCCAACTGCTTCTTTGCAAAGTGGTCTTCCATGTCTTCTATTGTTTATGTGGTCTTCATATTGTGATCTTTTGCTGAATAGTGAAAGTACTTGTCATCTGGTGTTATCGATCATCATTATTCTATTCATCATCTCATATTAAAAAACAATAAACTATGTATAATACTATTTGTGTAATTTTTCTCCAATGGGGAAAATAAAACTACAAAACTAACAGCAATAGCAGTCAAAGTGACACTAAACTCAGGAGTTAAATCTTAAAAATGTATTCAAGTACCTTAACTTATAACAAAAATGTATCTTATTTGTTTATCACTCAGCTGTAGACCCTCAGATCATCTCTGAATTGGTGCTGACACTGTCCTTTCTTCTGGAGGGTGGCCACTTTTGTTCCCCATGGTCCCTGTGTGTGTTGTAAAGTAGCCACCGCTCTAAGCTTGCGTCTGTGATGGACTACAATCTCACGTTTTGTTTAGTCATTTGTATTCAGATTGCAGTCTATCACAGGAGCGAGTTTGGAGCGGTGGCTACCTTACAACACACACAGGGACCATGGGGAACAAATGTAGCCACCCTCCAGAAGGAAGGACAGTGTCAGTATGAATTCAGAGATGATTTGTGGATCTACAGCTGAGTGATACACAAATAACATACATTTTTGTAAATAGTAAGGTAATTTGAATGCATTTTTAAGATTTAACTTTAATAATATTCCTCCTACTGCCGAATTTTTCACTTCAGCACTGGCCAGAGCCCTTGTGAAAAACTTTCCTAACTTGACATTTGCAAGACCATCCATAGACTTGGCCCCCTTTCCACCTTGGGACAATGCCTAGGCCTGCTGGCAGCTTGTCCAAGAATCAGATACTGCATTGTGGGATGGGGATGTAGAGGATTGTAATATCAATTATGTGCAAATAAAGCAACTGCAGGTAGCTCTTGCTGGGGCTGACGGGACAAATTCTGCAGCAAGATTTGTGCTTATGCTACCCACTGCTGCTGCTAAGTAGAGTTATTTTCCCCACAGATTTGCCTTACGGATTTCCTTTCTACACAAATGTTTGTTCCCTTGCATGAACTAATATGGTATTTTTAGATGATCTCAGATAGATTGTGTTGCTTGCATGCTTCCAATTCTGCTTTTATTGTTTAGTCCTTAGAGCTTCGGCATTGAATGAGTCAATACTGCCGGTTACAACTCTGCGGCTTCAAGGCTTGGAGCTTTTCTCTCTATCTGCTGATGGAAGAGCAAGCTGATGCTAGGGATATCTCTAGGAGCCAATAAGCAGCTGCTCTTTAGACCTGAGACATAATAGAGATACCTCCTTGGATTGTAAGGAGCCTGTGCTGCTGCTGAGATGTGCATGATGTCTTTTAAGGTAAGTCATTCTTGTTTTCTATTGACATTGTAAACAGAGAGCTGCAGCACATGCAGAGTGATGCCTCAGAATCCAGACTTACAGGCCTTGTTCTGGGATAGCAGCACCATGCAGACAATGCTAGGAGGCCTGAGTCACTTTATATGCTGCACAAATGAGTTAGCACTTATCCTTCATAAGGAAAGATTTAGGAAATGACTGATCCACACAAGAAATAAAACAGTTTGTTTATAATACTGTTTAGAAGTATTAGTGTTGTTGTATTAGTTTTTCTTTGTATTCCTTTATGAAATCTGCTTTGATTTTATTGTTACAGTATACTGTTACCTGCTGGACAATCACAGTACAAAAAAAGTCAATTTACAACAAATTAGATGTTTTTAGTTTTATATGATCATTTTTTTCAATATTAATTAAAATTAATCTAGCTTTTTATGTATTGCAAATTCTAGTCTTTCCAGGGCTTATATTGCTCAGAGAACTGAAGTCTGAGCATTCAGATATAACTGCAGTATGTTCTACTGTATGTACACACTGCTAGACATGAAAAGTCCTGCTGTGATACCAGATTTCACAAGCAGGTGGAAAAAGAGGTAACAAAACCACTACATTACTATGTATTAGTAGGGGCGGTATTTTTAAATGCAGAAACGTCACGCGCAAACAAAATTTACATTCATAAAAAACAGGTTATTACATTGAAAAGTAATATTGTGAAAGATTATTATAAAATTACAAATGTACGCTTACCTTAAAGTCTATGTAAACCCTAACATGGAACTCCTCTTATTTGGTCCCTTTTGGTCTGTTAAATGTATAATTTTGCTCTCTGTTTAATCATTTTAAAAACATTCCCGGTTGGTTTTGACAAAAATCTTGTGAGCTGATTACTTCTGGTGCTCTCTGTCTGTGCTGACTGTACTGACTATTAGTTACATTGTTGTTAGCTGACAACCACAAAACCTCTCCCCTCTATGTTAAGGGGAATAGGAAAGGGACATGGTTCCATAGTTCTATCTGTTTTATGTTGTCCTGATACAGAAGTGTGAGTGGGCGTTGTCATCCTAGGGTAGGCAACCTTGGCTCTCCAGCTGTGCTGAAACTACAAATTCTATAAGGCCCTATTCACACTAAGCGACACTTACCTCGAGCAGATTTCCGCGCGGCGGGATAGCGCAACGGTATGGGCAACGTTCCAGCGACTATCGTTCGACAATTACTGTCGGACTGCATTTAAAAAAAAGGAAATTCACGCGACATGCACGGGGAAAAAGGGCCCTGCAGGCGCGACTTGCAACCGCGATGGGCGACATGGAGCTGTACATTAAGACAGCTCTATTGAAAATCATTGGCCGGCGACTTCTCGCGATATCACGTGGCAAAAATGCGCGATATCGCGGTGGAAATCGCAGGATTTTCTGCTCAGTGTGAATGGGGCCTAAGCCATTGCAAGCCACAGGCATGACTCCCACAGGCAGAAGCATGATGGGATTTGTAATTTCAGCACAGCTGGAGAGCCAAGGTTGCCTACCTCTGTCCTAGGGTATTAGAAGTGTGTTACTGACAGAATTACCAAGTAAAAATAAAGCAAAAAGTTGGAAAAAGAAAACTAATGCAGCCACCACATTTACGGACTGGTAAGCTGCCATATATTACACTTTTGTCTTTGGGTTTAGATAAATTTTAATGTAGCCCCTGATCATTAACCGAACCCCACTCCCAAACCTATCACTAAACCTAACCTTCCACCTAATCTTATCGCTAAAGATAGAAATGAGGAAGGCAAACAGCATAGCAGGAAGATTCCGTTTTTAGATTCTATCCATGGGAACAGTTCAACCATTTAAGCGGACCTTTACCCCTATCTTTAGAATAACAACAAACACACCTTTAGAAATGTTTAGTAATGACAATCTACAAACACATACTTCTAGATAATTGCCGGCTTTGTATTATTTGCATATCTTATTTCTCTTTTCTTCCTCAATCTTCTGGCACTAAGGGCAGATTACTAGCCCTCCTTTTACTTCCTGGATTTCTGGCACATGTGATTAGACATGTGACTAGGACATGTGACCATGCACATCATCTCAGTAGAGGAAAATGCCTTTCCCTGAGATCTCATGAGATTACAGATGAGATTTCCCAGCAATGCTGCTGATAACAAGGCCATCCCAGGGTGCATTGCTTTGGAAAACTGAAGTAATTTTGCCCTTTCAATGCAGGAAGTGAATACTGTGCAAGTTTTAGTTTTTTTTAAATCACCGCATTTTACACCTGACCTGTCAGGGGTGTAGATAAGGGGGAGGGGATAGGGGGGTTCAAACCACCCCAGAGTTTCCTGGCAGTGGCTTAGGGAGGGGGGCACATGACACCGGGTGCTGGTCTCCCTTTGTGAGGCATATACAGATCATCCATTAAAGGGATACGGGGATGTCCTGTTTGATAAAACTTCGGTGACCGCTGGAGCAGAGCTCAATCGTTTCACTGACGCCGATGTTTTATCAAACAGGACATCCCCGGCATCCCTTCAGATGTGCCATGTACCTTGCCTGTCCCTGGATGAGCCGCACATGCCTCGTTGCAGGCTCTGCAGCAGTCTTTCCAGTGACCAGGATCAGAAGGCTGCACGGAGACAGAGCTGGTGATCAGGTAGCGGGGGGGGTTGCATTCTCTGTGAGTTTGCTTCTGTTTTTAGTCCTAAGTCCAGTGTGTTGCAAAGTCCAGTGCGTTCCTATGTCCCAAGTCTAGTTCGTTCCTCTTTCCTGAGTCCAGTGCGCTCCTGAGTCCAGTGCGTTCCTATGTACCAAGTCTAGTGCATTCCTCTTTCCTGAGTCCAGTGCATTCCTGAGTCCAGTGCATTCCAATGTACCAAGTCTAGTACGTTCCTATGTCCCAAGTCTAGTGCGTTCCTCTTTCCTGAGTCCAGTGTGTTCCTAAGTCCTGAGTACAAAGCATTCCTAAGGCCTGAGTCCAGTGCGTTCCTCTGTCCCGCGTCCGGTGCATTCCTCTGTCCCGAGTCCAGTGCGTTCCTCTGTTCCTGAGTCCAGTGCGTTCCTGAGTCCAGTGCGTTCCTGAGTCCAGTGCGTTCCCGAGTCCAGTGCGTTCCTCTGTCCAGAGTCCACTGCATTCGGCAGTCCAGAGTCCACTGCGTTCTTCTGTCCCGAGTCTAGTGCATTCCTCTGTCCCGAGTCTAGTGCGTTCCTCTTTCCTGAGTCCAGTGCGTTCCTCTTTCCTGAGTCCAGTGCATTCCTCTTTCTTGAGTCCAGTGTGTTCCCAAGTACAGTGTGTTCGAGTGTGTCTAGTGCATTCCTATATCCAGAGCATTCCCAATATATATATATATATATATATATATTCACAGTATATATATATATGCTTGTGTGTTTTTACTTTTGTGTGCACACCCTAATGAAATAGGCTGCACATGCCTATGAGCCGGGCAGGGATTTTTTCTCTACATTTAGCCCTGCTTCAGGAATATAGAGAGGGGGTGCTCTTTTGTACAAGTGATTTCAGCGGCCCGCCTGCTCTTCCATGGTCCACCCCTCTGCCGGCTACCTCCCTCTGTGCCATGGTTGTTCGGGGTCCCCGCCCTTCTGCGGGGCCCCAGCCCACGGCAAATACCTTCAGGATGGAGAACAGGGAGTAGAGCAGAGATCGTCTGTTCTCTGCTCTTCTTTGTGATCATGAAAATGAAAAAAAAACTGATAAAAAGTAAAAAAATAATAAAACAAAAATGTGATTAAAAGTAAAAAAAATAAAACAAATACAATTGATTCATAATAATAATCCGCAAAGCCCAACCCGAGACCCCCACCAGGCCACCCGAGACCCCCACCGGCCACCTGAGACCCCGCACAGCCCACCTGAGACTCCCCACAGCCCACCTGAGATGCCCACAGCCCACCTGAGACTCCCCACAGCCCACCTGATACTCCACACAGTCCACCTGAGATTCTGCACAGTCCACCTGAGACTCTGCACAGCCCACCTGAGGCCCCACACAGCCCACCTGAGACCCCATGCAGCATTCCTGAGACTCCACACAGCCCTCCAGAGACTCCACACAGTCATCCTGAGACCTTGCACAGCCCTCCTGAGAACCTGGAGACATCAGGTCGCCGGCCTGGAGCAACACAGAGTATGTAGCTTCATATTATTCTGCATTGCTGGGATTTGTAGTCCTCTATAGCTGGTGGTATTCTGAATTGCTGTATAATGTATTGCTATGGGGTGGGCCTCCTTGGTGGATCAGGGCTTTAGACCCGCTTCTGTGCTCCCTTCTTTTGGTGCGGCAGCACCGCTCCCGATCCACCATGGAGTATAGGCTTAAAATCACTCAAGTCTCTCCTCCATGACAGATTAGAAGGGGCACCGCCAGGAAAATAGAAGCGAGCCCAGAAATGGCTCCTAAATTAAAAAAGCAGCACTGGAGAATGAGGTGATTTGAAGGTGGATCAGGAGGGGAAAACATAGGCAACGGAACAGTTGGTCTAGAGCATTAAACTATGGATTGATTTGGGGGGGCGCTAATGAAAGACTTGACCCCGGGCGCCTCATGACCTTGCTACGCCTCTGTGTCCTGGTCCCATAATTGCATAGAGCTTTCTTTTGGTGGTATTTCACCGCCGCTGGGCTTATTCTGCTAAATGTTTTAGGTTTAAAAAAATCCCAATAAGTGTGTACTAAGTGGTTTGTGTTAATTGGTAGGTACCAATTTATAAGTCTTTTTAAAACATTGTTTTTATCCATATGGTGTCAAACAAGAAAATCAGTATTGCTCAAGGTAAAGGATTGGTTTAGGAAGGATATGGCTGGTATATATTTGTTCAAACTTGGGGTGTCTGCTAGATAAAGTCTTATAATTTGAGGAAGCTGAACCCCCCTCCCCCAAGGAAAAAAATTATCTACGGCCCTGTGACATGTCTACGGTATGTTATTATTAATCATCATACATGGAGGGATGCATTGGTAGAATTTGATTTTTGAGTGTAAATGTCTTGCAGCGAGGCAGTACCAGTAGGACGGAAAAGGTCCATCTTTAAAGTACTCTGAGATACAGCATTGCCTTCTAATAACAGAAAGTATTTACATTCCCTTCCAGCACAAAACCCCAAAAACAAAGAGCTCAGTCTCTGCTTATGGATAACTTTGCGGAATCATGCAAATCATTGCTTTTTGCTCCTTTTGGACATCTGTGCATCCAGAATCTATTGGCCACAATGTAAATTCTATCCAATAATACCAGGTTTTACACATTTGTCTGTGTTGGTTATGAATAATTATTTCTCCAACCTCCACAATATGTTTAATAGGGAGTAATCCCAGAAAATGCAGAGAAGAGAACTTGGTGCTTGTTTACATCCCCATCAAAGTGGGTAAACCCCTGAGAAAACGCTGTTGGCAATAACCTACCTATACCATCTAGATATTGGCTTAAATCCTCCTTCTTGGAACTTATTGAAGTGAAACAATGTTGTGTGAAGTTCTGTATTTTATAGAATCTGTTTGCGGCTGTGAAAAAGACTTACCCAAATTGTACTCCCATCTATAAACCCAAGGGGGAACAAGCTATTCTGTTGAGCTATTAAAGAGGAACTTTACCCAGATCTTTAAAATAACAACAAACACACCTTTAGAAATGTTTAGTAATGGCAATCTACAAACACATACTTCTAGATAATTGCAGGCTTTGCATACCTTGTTCCTCTTTTCTTTCCCATTCTGACAGTGGCCAGTTTTGCTAAGGGCAGATTACTAGAGCTCCCTTTAATTCCTGGAACTCTGGCACATGTGACTAGGACATGTGACCATGAACATCATCTCAGGGGAGGAAAATGCCTTTCCCTGAGATCTCATGAGATTTCCCAGCAATGCCCTGCTGATGTAACCTTCCCAAGATGCAACACTTTGAAACATTACATCATTTGTGACAGAAGTGGACCAGGAAGTAGATGAACCCTATTTGTAAGTAAATGAAAAACAAGTTTGTTTAACTAATATATGTAAAATGTTCCGCCTGGTCTATAGACGGTTGGATGCCATTCACATGGCACTAGCACCCCTAGACGGAGTTGGAGACACCTTCAGAAATGTTTAGACATTACATTTTACAAACACATACTTCTAGATAATTGAAGGCTTTGTAGTCTTTGCATACCTTATTTATCTTTTCTTCCCCAGTCTTCTGACAGTGGCAATGTTTACTAAGGGCAGATTACTAGCACTCCTATTACTTTCTGGATTTCTGGCACATGTGACTAGACATGTGACCATGCACATCATCTTAGGGAATGAAATTGCCATTCCCTGGGATCTCATGAGATTACAGATGAGATTTCCCAGCAATGTAAAAAATTCAAACACAAGGGGCGAAGGGGGTTATTCTCAGTTTGCGCGTTTAGGGTCTGGAACTCGCTGCCTCAAGCAGGGATTTCCGCAATTAGTCTGGAATCATTCAAGAAGCTTTTGGACGACTTCCTGAGAGACCGTAATGTACAAGGGTACAGGTACTCTTAAGAATGAGAACACTCACGGACCTATACACACACACAGAGACAATAGGTTGGACTTGATGGACTTATGTCTTTATTCAACCTCAAATACTATGTAACCTCAAATACTATGGAGAAAATGAATGCATCTATTGCCAAGGATTTTGGGGAACATTTTTTATGTCTATATTCAATAAAATTATGACCCTGTAATTTGCACACTGTACCAGCACACTGTAATCCATCTTTTGGATTATAGCTACCTGCGCCATATGTGATTTAGAGGAAAGGGTGGCCCTCAAGGAGTGAATTATAGGCCGAGAGTGAATTTTCTAGCCACTATCTTTTGGAATAATTTGTGATATGCCACAGTAAATCCATATAGCCTGGATTCCATTCCAGACTGCACTGAAGTAGGGCGCACTCAAATTCACCTCTCATGTATTACCTGCAGTATTTATTTCCCTGCCAAAGTTAAATTGACACTTTCAGGTTAATAATAAATCCAGATCAAACGTTGCAATAGAAGAACCTTTATACTAACCTATTTAAGCGGCAAGCGTTTCCTACCTTCCTATCGTTCCAGCGCTGCAATCTTCATAAGACTATTCAGCATTCAACACTTTCAGGAGCGTTGGATGCCTGTGTCCCCCACCATGAGTTGTGGTTTCAATCTCCAATCCCTACATCTTGTCTGAGTCCTGTAGGAGTCAGAGGATACAATCCACAGCATCTGATACTCCTGGAAGTGTCAAATGCTTAAAAGGCTTACAGAAGCGGCAGGTCTGGAATGGAAGGAAAGTGGGACATGGGCCATTGAAGAGGTGAGTATACAGTAAAAGGTCTTCTTTTGCAGGGACCTTTAATACAGGTGTTGTTCTAACCTGACAAAGTGGCTTTAAAAATCAAGTATTGAAGTGCATACAGGGAAAAAAGACTACCTATACAAGGTTTCTGATTTTCAAAGGGTTAACTGTACTAAACTCCAATCCACTGTTTTTTTTTGTCAGTAACCTGGAGATCTGGGAAACCTTTCGCTTATCTATTTGTAATTCATGAAAGGTGCTCCCAGTCACGCCTATTGTAGGTTTCATGTTTTCTCTCACGTACAGAAAGTCTAATGTATTAAAGTGTCTAATGTATTGAGACATTCCTCACAACTGCCATTGAGATTCAAACTGCCTTGAAAGTCTAAATCTGTTTGGTAATACATCAGGCACAAAGGGAGGAACCGAAGAGCACAGATGCGGGGAGCCAAACCACACACCCCACACTTGGAAATCTGGCTGTGGTGAATAACCAAGAACTCGTATTAAGCAAGCACTTAACTTTCCAACGTTCATTAACTTGCAGTGATTCCTGGAAAGTGTAAGCAGATCACTGACTGATTTCGTTTGTAACCTGAAATGCCTCCTCAGCCATGCAACAAACATAAAATCAGGCACAGTGTAATTATAACTAATTATGGTTTTCAGGGCAAAACAAATATTTTCCTTTTGTTGAAGGTTTATTAATTGGTTCTAAAACGTTGGCGGTTTTGTACAGCTGCCTAATTGTGTCTTACTAAGAAGTCTGTCCAGCTAAGGACTTTTAAAATGGAAGTGGACCTGTGCTCTGTTATCCATAAAACATCAAAACAATTTGACTTCCAGTAAGTTTACTTTATTTTAATATCTGTCTTTGAAGGAAAAACAAAGACTACTCATTGTATGTCAAAATATATCCCATATATGTTTGAATGTTTTCTGATATCTTTGAAATCATGATGCCATGAAACTAATCTGTCACTATTATTTTGTGCAGAAGGAAACGCCTCTTGCCAATGCTGCTTTCTGGGCTGCTCGAAAAGGAAACCTGGCACTTCTCCAGCTGTTGTTAAACAGCGGGCGAGTCGATGTGGACTGCAGAGACAGTGTATGCCCTTCATTTGTGTATGCCAAGAATTCCAGATCCCTATCTGCTTCATCAATGTGGCATAGTGGCCAGACAACAAGTCTGTTCTTAGTCTTCCAGTGTCAGTACTTTTGAATGGTTAACAAGGCACTCGAATGCAGTAATAGGTTTGTGGTTTATGTGTTAAGAAGCAAGGAGCAATCGCCAAACCAAATATCAAACAAAAGCATAACATAGCTTTACAAAAAGTGCCTGATAGTTTTGCAAGGCATTAAAGATCAGAAAGTTAAAATCTGCAATTTATTTGACCTGTAATAAATTCTCACCCAGGCACTGACCACAACAAAGTCACTGCTACATAAGAATAGGTAAAAATGTATACTATAAGAAAGGAATTATCTTTAAGGTCCCATACCACTTTGCCAAATGCTGCATTGGGAAAAGGTGTCTACTTTGTCCTTATAACAACCATTTAGATCCTACTCTTATATTATAACCTGCACTAGTTGTGGCAAAGAATGTGAGGACCCCTGTACAGAAAAAGAAAAGGTTTCTGCTGGTTTTACACACCTACCATTGTTCTAAATAAATATGCAATCCACAGAGCCACCTGTTTACTGTCCCTGCATGGTGGAAGCTTGAGGCTCCATTTACGCATGAGCGGTTTTCTATTCCTATTCGTATTCTATGCGTATGCAGCGTCCCACAAAATAGTCCAAGCGTGATATTATGGGCGAATTTCACACATTCCGGCTATAGTAATAGCCACAAACGTGCGGAATCCGCGTGTATGTTAACGTTTGCGCGGTTTCATTCTGCGTGAAAAACGTTATCGCTATGTGTGAATGGAGCCTGAAGGAAAAGCCAAATTAGGTCTTCCTAGATGCAGTTGATCATCTTGTTTTCAAACCATTCTAAGGCTCCATGCACACATGGCGTTTGTGTTTTCCGTGCGGTTTTCACTAAAAAGCGCAAATGTATCATTATTATAGCCGCAACACATGAATATCGCACTTGGACTTTTTTTGCGCTACGCATGTTTTCGTACTGCGCAGAAGTTGCACAAGTGTGAACAACATACATTTGAATGTATTTTTTTAATGTTTCGCACGAAAAACCACTGATGTGTGAACGGAGCCTTAATGCTTTCAAGTACTGACCTCACTGACATGTCACTTTCTTGCCAGGCCCTCTTAACCGTTAGCAGACCTGACCAGGGCTGGTTCCTTTTAGTAATGTGGCTTGATTTCTCTTGATTTTAAATTGCCCAGCCTTCCCTGCATGGCACCACCTGAAATATCATAAAACTAAGGAAGGAGAGATGTTTCCGTCCTTTTAGCATCCATATGCCGTGGCATAGGCAGCATTTCTTTTGGTATTTAAAGAATAACAGCTGGAATCTTTTTGGCTTCTTTGGACAATGTAGATACTTCTTATGCCAGATACTTTTCCTGCACAAGGCCCAAAGACAGAGTCGTAGCTAGCTCCTTTTGCCCCGAGACAAGAACGAAAAAATGTGTCCCCAATAGAACTGTGACGTCACCCGATGCCGGCATATCATGTCATGCGCCCCACCTCCAGGATGTGTTTTTTTTATTTATTATTTATAAATGTTTTGTTATTTTTTTATTTTTATTGTAATTTTTTTTTATTTTACTGTTGGGGGGCCCCCTGATATTTCCCTTTTAAAATAGAAAAATAAATTGAGGACACAGTCTTCAATCTCTTTTTCTGCAGCCTCTGTTCACAGAGGCTTCCCATTCATTCAGAAAATATGTTACTATCATCCAGTTTCTGAATGGGGAGAAGCCTCTGTACTGAGTGCTACTACCCATTCAGAAACTCATTCATGTTCTGACAGCTGGGCGGAGCCAGCCGTGATCTTACGGCTGGCTCCGGCCACTTTCAGAGAGATCAGCGTCCCTGGTTGCTAACTGGATCAGTCTGTTCTCTTGGAGGGGATGAATAAACAGTCACTAGGCAGTGTCTCTCTCCTGCATCACAACAATCATCTAGCAGAAATCAGTGCAGTTCACCACTCTATATCTCTATAGCATTACTACTGCTGTAGTAATGTCCAGCACCTCAGAGCGTTATGTCCGGTTACTCTGCAGCCTCTCTGTGGTCTGAGCGGGCTCAGCTCACACCTCCTGCAGATCACCTCCTGGGAGCTGTAGTTGATTCAGTTCAAGTTGATATAGTCTCTCTCTGGCTCCGCATTTCCACACCTACAAGCCTCTCAAGCTGCACAGCAAGTTTGGACTGCACAGCAAGGATTTAACTCTTTGTTTGGACTGCACAGCAAGGATTTAACTCTTCACAGGTGGAATACTATTATTTTTGTAGCAACTCTATAAAAATGTTTTTTTTAAAACACTGTCCTTGCAAAACTTGCACTCTTTGGTGGATAGCACCAAAGAGTGCAAGGCACTGCCAGAGAGAGACAGAGAGAGAGAAAGAAATAGAAACTGCCATAAAAAAAGATGGCTTCCTAACTGGCCTACAGAGCTGCAGAGAGGGTATCTCTCCATTCCTCTCCCATGCAAGAACCCAGTCGTATGACCTGTGATGTTATTTTTAGGAGTGCTTTTAGAGACTTGCATGCTGCTATTAGAGCGGCGTGTAGCCTATGGCGCATGCTACATGGTGCGCGCGTACGTAAATACATAAAAACGCGCCATAACGGCGTGAAAATGTGACACGTTGCTCGTGTTTGGTTGATAAATATGTTTTGCTGTGTAAAAATGCACACGCACCTGCATGTGTGTGTTTAGGTTAGTAAATCACCCCCTAAATCTCTCCAATTAATCCAGGCTGATAAGGAAACAGTATGGTTGCCGCAAATCCATGCTGGCCAGTAACTTCTCTCCCTCCCTCTCTCTCTCTCTCTCTCTCTCTCTCTCTCTCTCTCTCTAATACATTCCACTTCCACATGCTTCCAAAGCTGGTGCCTTCATAGCAGAACCCCACTTAGTAATTTACAGATATTGTGTAATTGGCTTACTTCTATTTCCACACTAGCTGAAGCTCTCCTGAAGTTCAGTGCTGCGCTAAACACATCTTAGCATAAACTTTGCTGTGTGTGTGTTTTGTAGAAAGAGACTAGTTTGTGAGTGCAATGTCATCATGAATTTTAGTCATGCTTCTGTTCCAGCTTTACTACTTTTCCAGGCTCTGGGCAGCAGAGTAATTCTTGCAGGATAGTTGGCATGCTTTTACAAACACCTTTTTGAAAAGGAAAAATAGAAGGAAATTTCTGGCTCAGAAAATGTTTTGTGTGAGTCACAAAAAATTCTGCCATGGAAACTTTCTCCACCCATACAATCTCACGATTTCTTGTTATCATCTCATATGTGAACAGACTTTGTTAGCTGCCTTGTCCCCTTTGAGCTTTCAAAGTCAAATAAAAACAATCTGACAATGAAGTATCTTTTAAAAAAATCTTAGCAAACGGTACAATTGTAGATAATCAGATGTCTGGCCTACGTGGGTATCTCACAGGCAAAGAGTGGGCATAAGGAAAACTGTTGCCTGAGTTTGTTTTTAATTATACTCATGAGGCCACCTGGGAGGTCCTGTCACTGATAAATCATGTTTGTTGTTGCATGAAGAGGATGAAGATTATCCTCTTCTACATCTGTATTCAGCAATTCTTCCACAGAGCAAATTACTGTATTTTGATGTCGTTTCGTTTAGCTGGAAATCTGCAAGTACCAAATTGTTTTCATTTGCTGCCTATATTTTCAGTTAATTCTTTGTGATATTTAAAGGGTCAGTCTACCCAAAACTGATATTTCAATTTCTAGTTACTGATGAGTTAAACCACCTAACAGTGTTTCATATATCTCAGGTTCACTGTTGGTACAATCTCTGCACTTGAGTTCCTAAGTCTGGGCACTTAATGTGCCCATTACAAGGGGGTTGCCACTCCACCAGCTGGATTTTTAATTATTTATTTGTTTTGGAGAAGGCAACAGGAGTTGAACATACAGAGGTGGGCGAAAAACACCCACACCTTTTATGTGAAGTCAGGCAGATCTCAGAATTAAAGTATCCAAAATGTAAAAAAAATCAGGAGCAGACTCAACCCATCGGACCCTACCTATAGTTGCAATACCACTTTTGGTGGATTGAACTTTTTTCCCTTTTTTTTTAAATATCTCTTTATTGTCCATATTTGAACAGAACAATGCATAACATCAGCTATATCATTATCAATATGCTAACAACATATTTGTGTACATACAATGTGAAGATACATCATGCCTTATAGGAAATGGACAGGACTTTCCATTGTTTTTTTTTTTGGAAAGCATAGAACAAGAACAATTAACAAAAAAAGTCACCAACAAGATTAAGAACCAAAACAATAATTAAGAGCAACAATTCTATAGCATTTTGGTTGATTATCAACTAGTAGTAAGGTACAATAATAGTGTTTCCAATACCATATCCATGCTTCCCATAGTTAAAGGACGGGATAAGTTTGCTGTCTTTATGGGCTATAAATATATTTTTTGTAAGGGGCTAAATAATCATAAAAAAGGGCATAAAGAGCTATGAGAGGTACTGGCTGCCATGTGTACCCCCACCTAACGATGATGGCTTTCTTTATAAGTGTAATGATCTCTGCAGCTCATGTGCCTGGGAGGGGGTTCAATACTAAAAGGACATTCTGAGTAATGAGAACAGTTTAGTTAGTAATGGAGAAATAACTTATATACACAAATTGCATACAATGCAATCAAACTATTAGTAAAACAATGTGATTCTCACTTTGTTATTTTATATTGACAAATGTTTTAGTGGCAAAATGAAGAAGGTGTTTCTGTATACTAGAAGGTCTTGTTTTCATTTCTATATTGCAGTCAGCATGCTTCATATTCACATCAGAATTATTTATTTTGACAGACTGGAACTACAGCATTAATGGTGGCAGCCTACGGAGGACATACAGAGTGTGTGCGGGAGCTGGTATTACATGGAGCTGACATAAATCTACAGAGAGAGGTATCCATGCTCTATGCTAGATTTTGCTCTCAATGCAGATATAAAACACCAGCTAATGAAGTTATTTCATATACGGTAAATCATTACATGGATTTTTAATTGCAACATTTGTAAGTCCCTGCATTTAACTTGGCATTAGCCTCTTCTAAGCACATGTAATGATAGGGATTACGCTGAGAGGAGGAGAGAGAGGAGTGAGCACAGGAATGACCTTAGCAGTGTTCTGATGCTCCTTGATTATCCAGTCACTGTGAGAATTCAAAAGAAACAATGGGGATTCTACAATCAACGCGTTTGTAACGTTGATGGAGGAATCTGCTCTATTTTTTTATGTTCAGCCTGCGAGTTGAATGAAAAAAATAGAGTAGTGTATGGCTAGTTTTTTTAAAATTTGTGGAAGTCAAGACAGTAGAAGTAGGAAATAGCTGCGTAGAGAAACCCCTCGACACATGCATTAAAACCTTTGCCAATAAAAAACAAAAATGTAAAAGTTACAAAAACGCACCTTCTGAAATCAGGTTATTTAATCTGTCTAGCTTCCTAATCAAAATATGCAACCTAGGAGGAGTAATTCATGCAGAGTTTCAAGTTGGTAACATGTCATGTTATCAAATGATAAATAAAAGTAAATCACCGCCACACACTTGAAGGGTTTTTAAAAGTATTGATATGTTTATTCAATACCCAATGTCACATACTGTCATACGGTGCTAACGTTTTGGGTCCACACAGTGATCCTTCATCAGAGCGACAGTGACACTGTGCAGTATATGACATTGGGTATTGAATAAACATATCAATACTTTAAAAACCCTTCAAGTGTGTGCCGGTGATTTACTTTTATTTACTATTAGTGTTTTGCACGGCACCATCCATGTGGTCACCTGGGCACCACATATACCTTGCGGTTTTGAGACCATGGCAGTGCGAATGGGATTTGGACTTTGGTGTTATCAAATGACACTGGGAGGTGTTGTGTTGTGAAAAATACTCAGTTGGCATAGCACAGGGAGGTACTGTGCTGTCAGTGAGCCTCTGTAGTTGGAGGCAGAGGCGCTAATGTCATTGCAGCAGAAGTGGCATAAACATAGCAATTTTATTGTTCCATCGCTGCAACCAGGGCCATCCTATAATGAAGCAGTCTGAGGCAGTTGCGGCATCTCATTGGGTCATGGTAGTGGTTTCCAGCCAGAGCATCCCAGGTTGCTAAGACTGCTACTGTAAATCCTAACTTGCCCACCACTATTTATATTATACCCTCCAACACCAACCTCCAGATAAGTCTTCTTGTTTTTCTCTTTCAGAGTGGTGCTACTGCCCTGTTTTTTGCTGCTCAACAAGGTCACGATGATATAGTGAAATTCCTTTTTGAATTTGGAGCATCTACAGAATTTTTTACAAGAGTAAGGAACAGTTATTCTAATATGAAATTGTAATTTATGAATAATATAGAGCACATGAATCTACAGCATGATAAGACACACAATGTATAAAGAATACGTTTTTAAAAATACAAAGAATCTGTCAAATTCAGTCAACTTTTTTTGTTAACAGATTTGCGCAATCTATGTAGAATCATACAATTAGGGTTAAATTATATGTGATTCACCGAAAAAGCGAGATTGCATTGTGCACTGGAGTATCAGTGGTTTTAGAAGGTCCCAATTTAGGAGCATGTTGTTTAATGAATTTAGAAATAATGTTATTTGTGGTCCATCGAAAGATTTGGAGTTTAGGTGGATATACACTGTGCAAAATTGGCACAGTGGGTGTCGCTGTCGGCATCTTTCAGCTGGCATCCTCCAATCAGCTGATTAAAGGAACCGGTCAGAAAATCTGATGTTTAGGAGAAGAACCTCCTAGCTTGATGTTTAGGAGAGGAACTTGGGTAGGAGGATGAAGCCATAGGAGATAAAAGATAAAATGTTGCCATTAGAATGGTAATGAACTGCCCCAAGGACAGATTAAAATGCATTGCTACATGAGAGGGAGAAGGAATTTTATAGCGCAACTAGGAGGTCAGGACCCTCCATTATCCTATCATATGCCATCGTGATGGTAGCAGAAAACACAATTACATTTGGGATGGGATTTTATGAAATTGTGGCAGGGCTATAAGACTCACAGCAATTTGAATTGTGTAACACTACACTGCAGAGCACAGATGTGAACCATCCACAAATGAAAGAATGCATGGCATATGAACTTGAAATGCATTTCCATTCAGTACAATTCCTATGATTTACTGCAGGGAAACAGACAAGTGTGAACAAGCCCCAAATATCCTGATTTTTCTTTCATTTAAGGTAAAGAATGTATTATACTTTTTCCACAGACAGAGTTGATTTCCCATGGAAATATGAAAAATATATTTTAAAAGAAAAAATGTATTTATGGCAAAATAGGTTAAAAAAAACTTTTTTTACTTTTGAAGTATATACTAAATTAGTTACATGATTTATAAAAGCTACAATAAAGAACAAAGGTACCGCAAAGTACAGCTGTCATCCAGGAATATAAAATCTTGAATCTTGTTTTAATTAAATTTTTTTTTTTTTATAATTATAATTTATTTAAATACATTTTTAAACTAATGATATAACCCACTGGGAATCATACTCAAAGGTCCCAAGAATGAACATCCGAATAAGGGCTTTTGTTAACGTACAGGGGCGTCCCGAGGCCGGGTGTCACTCGGTCTCTAGACCGGGTGACACCCTGCCACGTCGTCATTGCGCGTGACGTCACCTTGTGTGTGTGCGATGACGTCATCGCCCATGCGCGGCCATTTGATTGACGCTTGCCGGCGGCCATCTTGATGTTGTTTTTGTTCATCTTGGTGATGGACACCGGCAGAGAGAGGAGGGGACGTTTACCCGGCGGGATGAGGTATTCGGCCGGGTCCCCTCCTCTCTCCTGTTGGTGCATGACCAAGTGCCCGACTTTTTAGAGGGGGTGACACCAAAATGTCAGTCATTTTGGTGTCACCCCTGCAATGGTGTCACCAGGGTGCAGGCCACACCCCCTTTGTGACACCACTGTTAACGGACATGGGGCTTGTGTCAATGTCATCAGTTTGAATTCCATTTAGGATGCTTCTGAGATCATTCAGAATTCATTGACAGGTGCATATGATCTGCTTTAAGAGGGTTTTGTATTTCCAAATGGAATGAAAATGCAAAACCTGCTTGACGCAAACAAAAGCCCTTTGACACAGGCCCTAGATCTGTTAAAATGCTCATGGTTACGTCCTCTGCACTATTTTCAATCTCCTATTATTATAGCATGGATCTGGTGCTATACTACCACAAGTGTGAGACTTTTACACATTAAAGCTGAATTCTAGGCAAATGTAAATTACACAAATCAGTGCAATTCTGTATTCATCAAAACATCATTAAATGGAGTTTTTAATGTAAGCAGTGTAAGTACCTGCATTTACCTAGTATCAGCCTCTTGCAGTCCCTGCACAGCGGATTTCAGACCTAGAGATGGAGAAGCAGCACAAAAAGCCAATTAGGGAAGACCTGTATGGGCCATATCACAAAGGCGATCCTACTTGGTGTCAGTATTGGTGAGAGATTTCCTGCCAGACATTATAGAAAGACTCCCTCGCTAGGGGGGCCAGCGAGAAGTTGCTCCCTTGCTACCCACTCGCTAGAGACTGAGATTTAGCAGCATTCTGGGCCAACAAGGGAGCGATTCGTAAGGTATGTAAGTGAAAGCCTCTTCCATGTGGCCCTACTAATGACAATGAATTGAGCATCAGTGTACCATTACCATCTGCATCATGATCCCATGCATGTGGCCCCACAAAGCAAGTGTACCATAACAATTGAATCACCGCCCTTATTCACTTGTATTAGGCACTGCTGAACTGTTGTGCTAATGATTGTATTTTATTGCCAGAAAACAAATATGGAACAGCTGTTTTAAATTGGATTTTAAGCAAATATTTTCACAAAAGTGCTGTTACGTGTTGCTATAGAACTGTGCTTCTAGCCAAGATTTTTGACAGCTTCTCTTGCGACTGAGGCCCTGCTTGAACAAGTTAATAAAGTACGTAGGGCGCTTCAGAAATCTTAAAAAAAAAAGAAATAACAGACTGCCTTGTTCTGGAAGCTGGTAACGCGTCAATATGTTAAGTGTTGTGAAAGGAGGTGGAATCCATTTGGTGCTGAATCTGAGCTCAGCGAGTGCCTGGCACCCTTTCAGAAAAGTGCTGACTTGGCTCATTGGCATGTTACGGTTTACTGCACGCGTTTGTTTCCGGACAGTGAAAGGGCATCTGAGGCTGGATAACAGGTACCAGCTTGAATCTATTTACATGCCCAGTGTTTTGTATCCCAGACTGGCCGAATCATGCTGTGTTTATTTCTGCAGGAAAGGACAGATTTCAATTCAGGAGGGGGAATTTTGTAGGCGGTTTAATCAGTGCTTAAAGTTCACTCCATTATAGTGTCTTCTTAATGGTCCTTGATTTCTCTTAGTTTATATCATCTTCCTGAATAAGTTCATCCTAACTTCCTAGAAGTTGGCAAATTCTACTTGAATGGCATTTAGTTTGCTAAAACACTGTGTATAATAGGCAAATTGCATGGTTTTTGTTTAACAAAATACTTGTTTTCACCTCTTTCTCTTTTTGTTTTGTTGCATCTCAGTGCTGCTGATCTCATGCAGCCTTTTTGCAGCCAAGTACACATACTGAAAGCTGGCTGCATTGCATTTCTTAGGAAAGGAAGGAAGAGGGGGGTTCCTGAAGCTGTCAGGACCGCCATGCATAATGTGTGTTTAAACAACCACACGCAGGACAACACAGGAGCACATTTGGGAGACAGGGGCCAGGGCTGTCCCACTAATGCCTTTTGGCTCCGGCGGCATCTTTTGGGTCATTCGGGAGGGGGTGGCAGGCAGAGCCCCCCTTTCCAGATAGAGCATCACAGGTTGCTAGGAGCTGGGTGGGGAGATGTGTAAGGGTCATACACATCTCCTCTCCCAGCTCTGAGAAACGATACTCTGGGATGGTGTGGTCGGCAACCAATGACTTCAGTGAGCTGGGAGGGATTTACTAAAAGCAAATGGGCTGTTCACTTTGCCAGGAAATTTGCACTTTTGCAAGGGAAGTTTCCCTTAGCTTAGTAAATGTGCTGAAACTTCACTTTGTAAAAAATACCCAATCATGTGCAAGGAAAATAAAAAATAAATTACTGTTTTCTGATTGGTTGATGGAAGTCAGCAGAGCTTCCCCTCATTCACTAAACTAAGGGCAAACTTTTAGTTTAGCTTAGTGAATGAGGGGAAGTACAGTGAACCCTCCCAAGTACAATTTATAGTAAGTCTTGGTAGGTAATCATTGCATTCCCATTATGCAATACTATAAATCACCTTTAGCCCCCATTCACACTTGAGTATGAGCAATTTTAAGGTGATGTTTAAAATGTTTCTGTGCATTTATTTTGTGTGTGAATACCCATTTCTGAAGCATTTGAATGTGTTTTTAAGCTTCAGGCATTTTTTTTTTTACCCAATAAAAAGCAGTATTATCTGTGACACCATATGTAGTAGGGATGCACCGATACCGGTATTTCGTTATCGAGTACAAGTACCGATATTATTTTTTCGGTACTCGCCATACCGAATACCGAGTATTGGAAGTCCCATTCAGGAAACCAGGCTTCCTGATTAGCCGGGAACTGGCCCGGCGTGTAAAGACTTGCAACCTGGCTTCTCGATTAGCAGGGAAGCCGTCCCCATGCTTCTCGTCACTATGTGACGAGAAAGCATGGAGCTGGCATTCATGAGGTGACGAGGTAGCATGAAGCCAGCTTCCCAGCCAATCAGGAAGCCGGGAGCCGCGTCATTACACGGCGCTCGGCTTCCTGATTGGCCACCTTCCCAAACTAATCAGGAAGCTGGGCAGCGAGTCATTACACGCTGCCAGGCTCCCTGATTGGCCGAGAAGCCAGCTCCATGCTCCCTCGTCACCTTATGACGAGGGAGCATGGAGCCAGCTTCCTGGCCAATCAGGAAGCCGGGCAGCTGCCCAGCTTCCTGATACAGGAAGTATCGGGCCAGGCATCGGAGTATTTGGGCGAGTACGAGTACTCTCCCAAATACGCGGCATGGGCACCGATACCGATACTAGTATCGGTATCGGTGCATCCCTAATATGTAGTCATCATCCTTGTATCTGCTTCTTGGTTTTTCTTTGAGGTGTAGTGGTGTCTATCGTGTGAGCTCCCAGTCCGGAAAAACTTCATGCCCAGTTTCTTCCTAGACCGTCAGCCGCTTGCTATGGTTGTTGTAATGGGCATCACTGTAGTCTTAGATGTTCTTGTGAGCCCTCACCAGGGGGATAAAAGCCTCCACATCCAGCATTAACACTCCTCAATCCTTCATGTTGTTCACAGGCCTGAGGTTGCAAAGAGAAGACCAGTTGTTAGGCACACAAATGCATGAAGAACATGCTAAAATTCTTGTGTTATGCATTTTCAGGCGCTCCCATTGAATTCTATCGGGACAAAAATGTGTGATTCTGCCTGAAAAAAAAATCATGAACTTTTTTGCATGTCAAGCAGCAGCATGATGCTGAGGGGTGAACAGACACTATTGACTATAATGGAAAACTTTATGTTGAGTGTTGTCGCACTCTAAAAAACCTGCAACAAATCAGGTTCAGGTGTATATGGGAGCTTATAGCCTAACAAATGTACTGTGGCAGGCGATTGTACATTAACTGCAATATTTACCATGTTATATACAACACAATTGTTACAGTAAGCACTATGTATTTGCCAACATCAGAAAATAATTGTCACCTGGCATACAGTATGTGCTTTATCTATAGCACAAAGTCAGTATAGGTGTAAATTATGCTTCTTTAACCACTAATTGTATTTGTGTGTATGCCTGTGTGGCTGCAAGGAAAGGCTTTGTCACTATGTATACCATCAAACATGTTCAAAACTGCAGTTCTTTTGTATACTGAAATAGGAAACCTGTGCAAATAGATATTGAAATCTGATTGTAAAATAAAATAATCCCAGTTTCTTTGTGTTTTGTGCAAATACAACTCTGGTCATTTTCGAGCAGGGTACAGTTTTTTATTTTAAGTGGTAATCTGTTTTGGTGAACATTGATGAGGATTATACTTCTCAAATGTTGTAGAAACCTTCTCTGATGATGTGAAACACTAAACGTTCTATTTATTAAAAAAATAGGCGTAGCTTGTTCATCCAGGGAAACTGGAGGTACATTTGTTCTGTCTGAGGTAACCAGCAGTTGTTAGAGGGGTGCAAAAAGTAATATTTTTTTAATGTAATGTATTTCTGGTCGAATGTTCTTCTACAGGTTCATTCATACAGAACATAATGAGTTGGGGAAAATACCTCATTATGGCCACTAGGTGGAGCTGAGGATCATAGGAAATAAGTAAACATTGGAAACGAGATACAATTCAACATTGGAGAGAATGAGCATATAAATGTAACCATTGATACTGCAGGGATAGCAATTGTTACATTTGTATTATTATTATTATTATTATTACATAGTATTTATATAGCGCCAACAGTTTGCGCAGCGCTTTACAATGTAAGGAAGACATTACAATTACAATACAATTCAAGACAGGATGGTAAGGAGGGCCCTGCCCCTGAGGGCTTACAATCTGAAAGAGGAGGGGGAAATGATACATGAGGAGGTAGCTGTGTGGGGATGAATTGTTTGAGAATGTGATGGTTAAGTGGTTAGGTTGAGGACGGATAGGCTTCCCTGAAGAGATGAGTCTTCAGGGAATGCCTAAAGACAGTCAGGGTGGGAGACGGACAGGTTGGGGTAAAGAGTTCCAGAGGATGGGAGAGACTCTAGAGAAGTCCTGGAGGCGAGCATGGGAGGAGTTGACTAGGGAGCTGGAAAGCAGGAGGTCTGGGGAAGAGCGGAGTGGACGGTTAGGGTGATATTTTGAGACAAAGTCTGAGATATATCCGGGGGCAGAGTTGTGGATGGCTTTATAAGTGACTGTTAATATTTTGAATTTTATCCTCTGGGCGAGTGGAAGCCAGTGCAGGGATTGGCAGAGGGGGGTTGCAGACACTGAGCGGTTGGTCAAGTGGATGAGTCTGGCAGCTGCATTCATGATAGACTGAAGGGGGGATATCCTGTGTAGTGGAAGGCCAATGAGGAGGGAGTTACAATAGTCAAGACGAGAGAGATTTATATGCTCATTCCCTCCGGTGGTCTCTAAATTATAAACATTTTATCTTCTTACTAACATGTATTTATTTCCTATGATCCTTACCTTCATCTTGTAACCATAATGAGGTATTTTCCCCATTCATTCTGTTCTTTATAAATATATACTTATTGAAGATCATTCGACCAAAAGAGAAATTAAACTAAGAACATTTGTTTTTTGGAACGCTTTGCCCACCACCCGGACACCCCTAAGCAGCAGAGGCTTACCTATTCAGGGGACCGCGGCGCCCGGAGAGAATCCATGGGGGATCCTGATCTCTCGGACTCAGAGGGCCTGGACGATCCTGTGGTGACTCTGAGTACTGCAGCTAAGGCTGCTGAAGGCCTCAAACCTCCTAAGACCAAACTCAAGGCAGCTGAGCACACTATTGCGGATGTGTATTCTGCTGTCCAATTATCCAACACTGCACTAAATGTCCTAACGGAGGAGGTGCAGGGGATGAGATCGGATATTTCATTTATACGCCACGATTTGCAAAAAGTGCGTGAACGCACGACAGCCCTGGAGGGTAGAGTGAGTGATTTGGAAGACTCTTCTGCCCCTCTAAATGCAGAAGTCAAATTGGCAATGCAGAAGATACATATAAACTCCCAGAAGTCCGATGACATAGAGAACCGGCTGCGTCGCAACAATATACGCGCTGTCGGTATTCCAGAATGCACCGAAGGAGCTAACGCCACTGATTTCATTGAAAAGTGGCTGTCCGAGGTCTTTGGGAAAGACTATTTATCCTCGCTGTTTGCTGTCGAGAGGGCTCATAGAGTCCCGTCCCGTCCCCTGCCGCCTGGGAACCCTCCTCGGCCTCTGCTGATCCGGCTTCTTAACTACAGGGATATGCTGTCCCCTTTACTGTTCGCCCTGGCTATTGAGCCCTTGGCGGTTATGATTCGGGAGTCTTCGGGCATTGTGGGGTTTAGGAGAGGTGCCCTGGAAGAAAAGATTGTGTTGTATGCAGATGACACCCTCCTATTTCTAGCGGATACACGATCATCCCTGTCTAACGTTATGTGTCTCCTCACTGCCTTTGCCACCTTTTCGGGCCTGGTTGTCAACTGGGAGAAGTCCATCTTGCTGCCTCTGGACCCCCTCCGCTTGTCTTTGGCTCCTGAGATGGCTCATCTACAGGTCCAGTCGGTTATTACCTATCTGGGTATACAGATAACAGCTTCTCCCCTTGATTACATTGCCTTGAATTTACTCCCCCTTCTGGCTAAATTTAGATCCCAACGCACCTCATGGGCCAAATTGCCGCTATCCGTTGCAGGAAGAGTGAACCTGATTAAAATGATCTGGCTGCCCTAACTAATGTATATCATTCATAACTCCCCCCTGTGGATTCCCAAAAAGACCTTTCGTCTAGTCAGTAGTATTTTTAGAGACCTGGTCTGGAGGATGAAATCCTCCAGGTTACGTCTTGAAGTCCTGCAGAGGCCCAAGGCATGCGGGGGGCTTGCATTGCCCAATCCTGTAGAGTTTGAGCGGGTCACCTACAAGCAGAGAGGTAGTATGAAGAAGTTTGATGCGATGTGGACTGAATGGCTGGTATACCGGGGACGGGTTACGCTTGGGTGAACGAGCCAAATGGTGCACTGAGTTATGTGGCCGGTTCAGGGTATGTGGGATACTTTTATATATTGGTATGTGGGGGTGGGCTGGGTAGTGATGTAGACACGGGCTTATTGGTTTGAATATACATGTGGTATGCATCTCTTTAAGGCGGTCGGTGGCCATACGGCCTGACGGCTAGCCGGAAGCTGTTGTATGTACACCTCTCCCCCCTTTTTTTTTGTGTGTGTGTATTTAATTTTTCCTTTAATGTTGGTTTTGCCCTGTTTTTCTTTGCACTGACTCTTTGTTTGTATAAAAATTGTTTAATAAAAAAACTATCTGATTTAAAAATAAAAAAAAGAACATTTGTTTTTTGCCTCATTCTCACAACAGCTGGTTACTCGTACAAAAATAAATGCAGTTTCACTGGACAAATAAGCTATGCAAAATGTTTATAAATAGACCCCTAAGTATTTCATGTCTTTGGGTGAAGAAAAGGGTAACACTATGTTTGTTTTGGACAACTTTACTTAATGTAAACTTTACAGAGAGTTCCACCTTGAGGAAAAATGGGGAAAACCTCTTTGGTGGAGGAGTAATGCCAAAGACGTTACCCTACAAATCAGTTGTTTTGTAGCCAGGATAGTTACATCTCTCAAATTGCTAGATTCCTTTGTTATTCGCTACAGATTGGACAGCACATTGGCATTGTGGTTAGCGGTTTCCTCCGGGTTCTCTGGATTCCTCCCACACTCCAAAGACATGCTGGTAGATTAATAGGCACCTGTATAAAGTGGCCCTTATGTATGCATATGAGATAGGGACATTAGATTGTAAGCTTCTTGAGGGCAGGGACTAATGTGAATGTGTCAGCGCTATATAAATACCTGAAATAAAAAAAAATAGATTGCTATTTGACACTTTAGGTGTCAAGGGAGTCATCAGCCTGGAATATGTATGCAAATCACAAGTCTTTATCTGTGTGCCTGTTGTGGGTCTGTGACTTAAAGTACCAAATCAAGAGTGGCAGCAAGATAGCCAAGCAGCTAACTTTTCAGATGGAGTGTTTAACAATGGCAGCCTCTGTGATTCTCTCATGACTGGCTCTCCTTAAAGGGAATATGTCACAAAGGTCTTAGCCACCTTTCACAGACTCACAAAGTACTTTCTAGCTGCATAATAGTGAATATAAGCATAATAATCTTTTAAACAATGTCTCAAAACTGCATAAAATGGCAGCTTCCATCTGTGGCTTCAGAAACAGGTGTTTAGCTTCATGAAGACTTCTATTGAATTGGAGATTCTTTCATAAAACCTTGTTTGTTACTTTACAGGATGGAGGAACGGCATTGCTGGCTGCCTGCCAACATGGACACACCAAAGTGGTTGAGACCCTTCTGAAGAATGGATCCAATATTCATGACCAGCTTTGTGTATGTACACATTAATCATTGACTGATCTGTTATGTGAACAATATGATTGCAGAAACAATTGAAGTCAGACATGTTGCAGATGGAATTTTATGTACAATCATTTATATTTATATAGCATTGCCAATACATCTGAACATAAAGAAAATTTCAAATAGGACTACATGCAACCATTATCTAGAAAGGAAAAGAATGGGGTGCCAGCGGTAATTTTCATCACATAGGGAGATTTTCCCATCTATATCACAAGTACCAGACATGTGCACAGCCTCAAGCGAGGAATGTATGCCACTTATGAGAGGCCTATCTCTTATTAACCAATGTGAAAGTTTTATTAGCTGAAAAGACGCTAGGGCATTAATTGTGACTAAAGAGAAGGGATTTTTATCTCTTTATATGGAAAGAGTTCTTTACTGTAAGAGCTGTAAAAATTTATTATAGACCTCCACGGGAACTAGATCTATCTGACTCAGAAAATGATTTTAAGAAATGGCTGGATATGATCCTAAATTAACAAGATATTAAACCCTTAAGGACCAATGATGGAATGATTCCGTCATGGGTCCTTAAGGTGTTAAGATTCCCTCATGTGAAAACTTAGATAGATAGATAGATAGATAGATAGATAGATAGATAGATAGATAGATAGATAGATAGATATGTCATATCAAATTAAAGCCCTTTTTGTCTTTCAAAAACTAGTATATAATATGTGTTGGTGCAATAAATGAGAAAGATGGAAATTGCAGTTGAACACACGCAGCAAATATTGCTTTGATCCTTACCTGAAAGATCAATGGCTAATAATTTAGGAACACAGCATCGTACTTTGTAGAATATTTATCCAGGAACCTAAGCAATTGCCTTCAGGATCAGTCAGGATTGTTTTCCCTGTTCAAGCAAACTGGGCAATGCAATTTTTTGCCCTATTCAGATTACTTAAATATACATATTAAGAAAAAAATACATATAGGAAACACATACAGTATATACATATGAAATTAGGAAGTTATTATCCTTATTTTTCACAAGGATAATATAATGATTTATGTATATGTACTGTAATTATTTCTCTGTTTTTCTCCTGAAGAAGTAGATTTATCTGTGAAACGTGTAGAGAACAAGAAACAGTCATTTACACAGCATTCACAAATACACTGACAATACCGTATAGAAAACATATGTACCGATTTTGTATTCGTTTACATTTTGTTAACATATGATGATACAGTGTATGAATATTATAGTATAAGGGCCGGAAGGTAACATCAAAAGAAGGAACATACAATTTATGGTAAATATATCATGATTGCTTTTATTATGAATTGTTTCTAATATTTATATGAAACAAGTCATACTATATCAATTTTAAATGTTTTAGAAGTCTTTGGTGTAATATACTTCATGGATATCCATTAAAGCGCATTAAACATTGTTTTGAATCACTAATATAACTGTGACTTGGGCATCATATATAATATCTATTTTGGGCCAGTGAGTTCATTGACCTAAACTTGACCTAAACTTGACCTAAACTTGACCTAAACCTGACCTAAACTTGCATACCTCCCAACTGTACCTTATTTGGAACTAAATCCCTCTGTCCCTCTTTGATTGTCCCTCTTTGTGGTCTGACATATAGACCTCTATAGAAAATGTATTATTTAACTGTCAGAACTGTTTTACAAAACTTAGGGGCTCATTTATAAAAGTATAGGAAATTCCTATACTCATCAGTGCCATCTCGGGGCATTAGCAAAGTGTGAACCTTTATGAATAAACCCCTTAAACTTTAATTTAACCTTTAAATGATTGCTTTTGTTATTTGGAAAAGCCAGCATAAAGGAAATGTAGAGGTGAAAAAACCTCTTGTCAGTTCAACCAATCTTTTGTTAGCAATTCTTCATGGTTGGCGGAACTGGGGGCATGTCAAGGATGTCCTTCGCCTACATGCTTTTGCTATCATGGGTCCCTCTTTCCCTTTTAATAAAATTGGGAGGGATAAACTTGATATGACTTTAAGAAAACAGTGCTGTTCTAGGAAACGGAAAGCTCATAGTACATTTGTCTACAAGGAACAGAATGTGGAACTTAGAAACTTCCTCATGAATCAGTTTATTACTGACCTTATCAACAGCACTGCTGCTTTCAAAGTTTTTGCTTAAAAAGCAGAACTCCGGGGAACAATTTTCTTAACCCTTGCAGTGCGGCTACCCCCGTACTGCAAGGGCTAAGTGCTTGTTTTTGTCTAGGTTCCCAAAAAAAAAGTCATACTCATCACGTTCTATACACTGGGTATGGGACATGAGGACACTGAGGGACATACCATCACTGCACCTGGTCCCTTCTGCCTCTCTCCTCCTCGCTGCAGTGATGCTATGTCCCTCAGTGTTCTCATGTCCAATACACAGTGTATAGAACGTGATAACTCACAGGACCTTAGACGGCTGCAGCAGAGGGGGAGTTAGGTGGAAGGAACCAGTCTAAGGGCCCATTCACACCAATTGCGGTGCGTTCCGGAACGGCAGCTGCTGGAACGTACAGCAATCACTCACAAAACTTCCGCCTTCGTTCTGGGGTGGGAGGGGGCATAGCGGTGCATTCTGCCTTCCAGTCCACTGCAAATGCAAGAAATAGAGCATGCAGCATTTTTTGTGTTTGCAGTGGACCGGAATGCAGGCAATGTTTTGCCACGCATCTGATCGCACTGCTGGCGGGGGGCGTGGCTGTGGTACCATTGACTTCAATGCACCGCCACGCCCCCTGCCACCTCAGAACAAAGGCGGAAGTTTTGTGAGAGATTGCTGTGTGTTCCAGCAGCTGCCGTTCTGGAACGCACCGCAATTGATGTGAATGGGCCCTAAAAGCAAGCTGGTTGCGATGATCGGGTGAATATAACCTTGTTACTTTTTAACCTAGACAAGAACAAGCATTTTAGTGGGGCTACTCCCACAATACAAGAAAAAAAAATGTCCCCAGAGTTCTGCTATAATGTGTATGTGTTATGTGCATAAACTGCAAATCTAGAACATTCATTTCTTTCTATCATTTCTAATTACCTACATACTTAGCATTGCATAACTTACACAATGTATTATTTTAGTTCCTCTCCATAAACTCAATTTTAGCTTCAGGACGAAGTCAGTGACCTTATTTAACCAGCACACTGTCTGCTTTGAAAATGAATTACATTATTAACGTGTGCCCAATAAGGAAATAATTTGGGTGAGGTAGTGTAAGCTTGCCAAAAAAATCCACTTACACTTGCAGATATCTTTATTTTTAACATGTGAACACGCACATTGCATGTATGAAATCCTGTACCAACAGGTTAGTATAATTTATTGCTTGCTGCAGCTGAGTTAGAAAATATCTGATATACAAGTCTGTATCATCAGGAACTTGTAAAGTAAAACATGGCACACACCCATCATTAAAACTCTTGGGCCAGTGAGGGAATTTCAGGCGGGACAATTACTCTGGACCCCAATTGCCTTGGGACCTCTTTATGTGGTAGCCAGGTGGACCTTTGGTATGTTAGATATATGGAAGCATGTGAAGCTAAAGTAAAGTGTTTCAGAACACTTAAAATGTACAAATACATTTTGCTGTTTCGGACTAAAAAAGGAAAATATATTGAATCTGCAGTAAATATTTTCTGTGTTGTTATTGAAAGGTTTACCTTAAAATATTGTTTAATATAACAATCCCATGTTTTCTGTACCATACATCCATTACTATGTTCCACATTCATATGTAGATATTATGCCTCTAGTTCAGTGATTGTAAACTCATGAGGTATAGAGGGCTTCATCTGCCACCTCTGACAGCACTTAAGGACCACACATAATACTACAGATGACTGTTGAAACTTACTAGAGGAGACAGTCAGGGATTGTGGACATGCCAGAGGAGTGTTTGCAGACATTCTGTAGAAGGGAGTTAAAGACTAGGGACATGTTACATGAGGCTGCTAGAGATCACTGCTACTACAGCCCCTTTTAAATGAACCACTTCAGCCTGTGGAGGTCTGCAAAGGGCCACACAGCAAGTAACATCTGTGGCCAGTGGAGCAACAATAGCCATAGCAGCCCACATGACTGCTATGGGGCCTGGGGTAGGAGGGGACCCCATTAGTTGAGCTGATTAGGAAAACTAAACTATGAGGTTTCGAGTATAGAAGGGCTGCAATCAGGCCTGAGGATCTTCTAGTCAATGATTCCCCTCAATCCATTAAGAAGCATTTTCTTATCTACCTTAGCAGTGTAGATTTATTGTCCTCTGAACTTCTCCTACAGACTGAAATTAACCCTGTATGTCTAATGCAGTCACAAATCCCAGAGTTTCTCCTCTGTTAAAGTGCTATAGGGGGACAGGGGTTTGTAGGCATAAGAAAACATTTATTGAAGCTAGAGTTTAAAGATGTTTGTAATCGGGTCGAACAGTAAGTGTGTGTAGGAGCATTATTCATTTTATGATAATATAAAATATAATTTTGGCTGTTATTATTATTATTATTAGTGCTACTATAACTTTTATCCCCAGCACTGCTCCTTAGTAGTGTACTGACTATGCTAACAGCTACCCTGCTGCCTGTCCTGCATACATACTGTGTGTTAAGATCAATGACAATTATTGACACAGTTGACACTGCCAACTGCTGCAGAGAGAGTTAGCTGGGATTGGGGGGGGGGGCAAAGTTTTGCTATGGGGCCCTACGATTTCTAGGTCTGACCCTGCATGTGGCCTTTGGGCTGCCGGATGCCTACCAAGGCCCTAGTCACTGTATGTATAGCTCCACAATTACTATTGCAATCCATAACATATACATAACATATCCATAACATACAGTAACACAATTACTATTGCAATCATATAACTATCATTGAAGAAGATAGAAGACCTCTTCTGATTACCACTGTTCCCCTTGTGAGCTACGTAATTGACAAAAATGTCTATACTAAGCTAAATGAAGCTTTCATATTTATGTGGCATTCTGCAGCACCCCGTTTAATAATAATTCTGTCACTACAGGATTGCTTTAGGACTCATCCGCATTTGGGGCAGTCTCATGTATTCCACTCAATGGCGTTTATGCAAAAAGCTGCTATGACAGCTGACAGTGCCTGCAGCAATTCTCGGCCGTTCACATGTAATCAGACATGCAGCGATTACCTGTGAATGATCAACTCCTGACGCAAACACTATTCTTGAAGGCCCATTCACACCATGCCCGGACCAGATCCGTACCATTATGTTTTTCCCCTGCACCAAGAATGCATCCCAGTGTATTTCTATGGGGTTTCTGGGCTCTGTTCACATCAGTGCAACCCATTCCAGTGCAGGGGAAAAAAATACTGCATGTCACATTTCCTCTGCGCTGGAACGCACTGGAATGCGCAATAACGCATAAAAAAGGCACCGCAAAAAATGATGATCCATCAAGCTTTGACTTCCTTCCTGTGAGTTGGGGAGGAGATTTCATAATTTGAGCACTGGAGTGTGTGATCGGCTGGAACATGGTTGATATTAAAACCAATTTGTGGGGTATGTGGAAGAGTCACCTGAGCTGTTTGACCCAAGGCATCCAGATTATAAAAATAATTCTCATAGGATGGAGAAGTGGAGGTCCATTGCTGCAAAGTTTTACCCAGACTTTCATGTGATGAGAAGGGAACAATAGGAGGTCTGTGGTGAGTAAAACATATTTGATAGAGTACTTAAAATTTGCTATGGTTGTATGTATGCTGCATATATACTGCTACCGGTAAATGAAAAACACTTTTCCGGATGTGCCCACAAGTTCAGTATAAAGTCCAAAATCGACCCTTTGATTCTCTTAGCTTCAAGAGTGGGTGCACCCAAAAACGGCCTCTACTGCGAGCACGTTGTCTCAGGATTGCAATAGCCATCACAAAGAGCATACTAAGGACAAACAAAAGGAAGTGTTAAGAAATGAAGGCAGAAATTACCTCAGAGAATAATCTGCTTGCTGACAGCCCAAAAAAAAAGAAAGAGGTGGAACGCGTCAAAAGTGCATCACAAGTGCAACGCATAATGTTCGCAGAAACGTGTGCAGACCTGGTCAGGACATGGTGTGAATGGGCCCTGAGACTGCCCCAAACACAAGTGTGAATGGGGCTTTAAGGAGCAGAAGCGTTCTCAGAGACATTTACTCTTATTTGCTGAAGTCATCATTTGAAATATGGACAAAGTTCCCTAGAAGTGAAATGCAGGGACAACATATCTGGATGAAATTTACAAATGTCTGGAAAATCATTTCAGATCAAAGAGGATTGATAACTATGCTCATAAAGGAAGGAAAAATTCTGATATAGAACACAGAAACATTTAAATATTTACCATGTTAGAATTTGATCTAAACATTAATTCATAACAAGATTCCACGTCTTCTATATGTTATAATACATTTTAACAAACCCAAAGCAACTGTGGATTTGCTTCTATTGTGTAAAATGCATTAAGGTAAGAAAACGTATTTACTGTTTAGCAAAAGAAGCCCATAAAAGATTATGGGCCTCTACAGTATATTGGTTTTTATGAGTTTTTTGTGTAAAGCGTACGCTTTCATGTACATATTTCTGATTTTTTTTGTCAGGACGGGGCAACTTCACTGTTCCTGGCTGCACAGGGAGGGTATGTGGATGTCATTCGATTATTGCTTACATATGGGGCAAAGGCGAACCAGCCACGCCAGGTATTTGTATAACTGACCTGCTGAGTTCATTGTTCTCACTGTATATCTAGTATAACCTGTCTGTGCCCTGTACCTTTCCAATTCCATTTTTGCTTAACTTTTATTATAAGTTTAATGTTTTACAAAGACAAGAATGTTGGCTCACAGTCAAAGGTTCCACAGTAAGACCATGGAATGAGTCAATAGACCAAAGAGGAATTGTGCATAAAAAGTGTAACTGTGGGCAAAATGAAAAAGTACAAGTAGTCTGTCAATAGCATTAACACGGCAGTTTTTGTTTTTCTTATTTTTCTACTATCGCTTAGAGTAAGTTAAAGGGTTGGAACAGACAATATTAGCTCCCGTTCGCACCTAGGCATTGTCTCTCAAAGCTAGGCGAGACAAAATGCTCAAGACAAGGATTCCCATTCATTTCTGTGGCCCTTGTTCACACCTGAGCATTTTGTCGCAAGCAGAAAAACCTCTGTACATAAGTTACTTTTTGCCAGATTACAGTGCTTTTTGGTCCCATACACTTCAATGGGAAGCACCTGGAAATGCGCATTTAAATCGTTTTTGTGCATTTTGTCACACGTTTTGTAGCACAAAGTTTCCCATTGGGGTCTAAGGGGCCAAAAAGCGCTGTAATCTGCCAAAAAGTAGCTCACATACAGTACTTTTTCCAGCGACAGACGTTTTTCTGCTTGTGACAAAACGCTCAGGTGTGAAATTAATGGGATTGAGTGCATTGTTGCAGCGCTTATCTATAAACAATAAGTCAAGGCAACTGGACTTGCTGTATTTTTCTTGAAGACGTTTCACTGGTCATCCAACCAACTTTCTCAATTCAGAATTCAATTCAATTCTGAATTGAGAAAGCTGGTTGGATGACCAGTGAAACGTCTTCAAGAAAAATACAGCAAGTCCAGTTTTTTACAGATATACTGACCTGGATGAATCAGAACCTTCACAGACACATAGTTGCGCTTACCTTTGAGTGATAAAATGCCTAGGTGTGAATGGGGACTAACAGTGGTTTAAATCTTATATAACTTACAATGGATGCTGCTCCTTGATGTTTAAAAGTTTTAGCTTCCTGTAGAATCAGCTGCTTTCCTGAGTACTAGCACTGATATCCTGTTTTAGGGGGGCTCCTTTGCCTTGCAGGGTCCTATGGAGACACCCTTGTGTGCTAGTAACACAAAGACACAGCACGGTAGGCCGCTTCCCTTCCCCCTGTGTGTAAGTGCTTGCACAAAAATATAAAGAAGGACGTTGCTGGGCGATATATTGTTTAAACTGGTTTCATTTTTAATACTACTTTAACTCACCTCCCTATGCTCTTAAACCGGCGTCGACATCTTCTCCCCAGTTCTTTGGCCATCTTGATTGGCCAGTTGGGGGGGGGGTGACATAACTCCTGTGCGTGTGCACATGTGCATGTGCATGGGTGTTCATTCATCCCAGCACAGAGGTGTGCCAAGAATGTGTTCTAAAGAAGATTGTAAACAGGCAGGTAAGTCTGTTTTATTACAGAAGAGATGTAACTTGTCATTTCTTTCTCTTTTTATGTTTTTTTTTTAGTTACTATTTACATTTTTTTGTGAATAAGTAACCATGTACCCCTTACTGATTCACCCAGGCAGGGGGCTGTATATTTGGAATTTCCTATATTCTAAAGAGAGTTTATGAGAGGTCCCCCATTAACAAGGTGCCTTGCAAATAAGGGGGGGGGGCTTTGCTACCCCTCTTGCAGGGCATCCTCCTAATGTTGAGGGAATATGGTCTGATATGGTTCAGGA